ATGCGACGGGCGCGCCGCGCATCGGGAACAGCGGCGGGATGGGGGCCTCCAGGTAAGCGACGAGCCTGCAGCCATGCGTAGTCGACCCCGTCAGCCCTGCCGAGGTAGCGCGCGGCGCCCTTGGCGAAACGCACGCATGCGCGAGCACCTCCTCCGCGGAATGGGCGACATGGGCGCGGAGCCGAACCGGCCGAGTCTATGCCTCATCGCCACCCAAAGCAAAACCCGCTTCGATGAGGGCCATGCGATCGTGGTCTGCGATGATGATGGCGTCATCGGGCGAAGCGAGCCGGGGGTGCGCATCGGGTCCTGCCAGCGCCGCGACCTGGACCGACCTGGCACGTGCATCGAGGGCGGCCCCCACGGGGCGACGCGGCGCGTCAGGCCAAACCGCGACAGGCGCGGGCGCAGACATGGGGCCCGCGATGGACAGACTCGACAACCAATGATCGATGCTCGAGTAACTCGCCCGAAGGAGGCCGCGAAAAAGCCCGGGCAAGGATTGCATCCAAAATGCCATCGCAGTCGAGCACGCTGGGGGCGCAGTGGAAGCCGGCGCCCAGGATGAGAGGCCTGTTCTAGCCCCGGAGGGCCTTCCGATGGTGAAGCGGCGCCCCGCGTTGACGCCGTCGCGCCAATTGTCCACCTCGGAGTGGGCAGCGGCCATAGTGAGATCGCCCTCGACGCCAAAGTCGGCGCGGCATGCGGCGCAGAAATCCCGTGCAAACTCAGAAGATCCAGGCGCTGCTGAGCACCCGGGGAGAGACGTGACGCTGATCTGGCGTTAGATGAAGGGTCCGGCCCCAGCGGTGGCCCGCCCAGACTCAAGACGCCTGCAAGGAGAGGCGATAGCATGCAATCTAGCTCGAGCTGCCCAAGCGTCAGCACGTCGAATTTCATCCCTGTCAATGCGAAGTTCTTGTGCTGCGACAGCATTGATCTCCGAATGGCACTGTTCCAAGAGATCGCGGCAATAACCCCGAAACGAGACGTTGTGGGTGACCCTGCGAGCATCGACGCGATGAGCTCGCCGCCGTCCACGTCGATCACGTCCTCCGCAATGCCCGCGTCTTCCCAGGCTGCCGCGGAGCCGCCCCCTGGCGAGCGAAAAGCGGCGCCAGCGACGGCGACTGGGGCAGAGGTTGTTGCAGCTGGGGCGCGATAGTGGCCAACGCACGCGCCATCGGCGCCGCCCGCGGAGGCAGGGGTAGCGGGAGGTCCCGCTGGCAGAGCGACCTTGGGGGCTGTTGCCTGGAGAGCGCGTGCACCAGAAAAGGCGGCACCCATGGCCATGACCTGGCCGCTGCTGGCCTCGATGACGGCGGCGCACTGCCCGCTGGCCACGCGGGCGGGGGCCGCGCGGAGCAGATCCTGCAAGCCGACGATGGTGGAGGCGAGGCTGGCCAGGACGACGCCGCTGGACCCCGCGGCGGCCGTGGCCACGGCACGCTGGGCGGCAGCCAGCTCGGCCTCCAAGCTGCCCACCTCTGCTGCACGCTGCGCCGCCTGATGCTGGCGAGGTTGGTCGACGTGGCTGGCGGCTGCGCCAGTGGGACAGCGGGGCTGGCGGCTGCGCCAGCGGCTGTATCAGACCCACGCGCAGCAGGAGCCCCGAACGACGCCTGCGGCCAGCGGGCGGCGAGCGCGCTGGGAGCTTGGCCGCGTCCTCGGCACCGCATAGGCGCCCAGCGCGATCCCGCCCGCACTTCCAGCAGGTGTCACGGTTGCCACTGGGGCAGCTTCGCATCTGTCTTCTCCTGCCACCACGGCGGGTCTGCCACGACACGTTGGTCCCGCGGGCGATATCCGTGATGGCCAGCCAGGCTCTTGCGCTCGGCCGCGCAGCGCAGAGCGAAACGCGTCTGCGAGCGGCGGCGCCGAAGGCGGCGGTGCGAGGCAGGCGAGCGCGACAGGCGCTCGGGAGAGGCGCGTGCGCCCGCGACGCGGGCATCTGGCGTGGAAGCTATGTCACGGCGGGCGCCCGCCGCAGGGCCAGACGGCTGCTGGGCCGCGCTGCCAAGCCACATAGGAGGAGGAGGAGGAGGAGGAGGAGGAGGAGGAGGAGGAGGAGGAGGAGGAGGAGGAGGAGGAGGAGGAGGAGGAGGAGGAGGGAGTACGAAAGGAGGAGGAGGAGGAGGAGGAGGAGGAGGAGGAGGACGTAAGGAGGAGGAGCAGAGAGGAGACGAGGAATTGAAAATTGAGCGCGTGCTCGTCGCGGCTCCCCCGAAGGAGAGCGGACAGCGGGTCCTGGCGGCCCGTCAGTGGCCTCCTCTCTGGTGCAACTGGCGCGCCCAGGAGGCCTCCAAGAGGGCTCAGAGCAGCCCAAGAGGACCCCAAAACCTTGCCATCGCTCGGACGCCCATTCCCCGTGCATGTTTCTATTTCGCGCGTGTTTTTTCCTGTTTTGCCAAATGATCCAGGATGCTCATCGATGGCCCTCGCCGAGAAAAAATTCACACGTCCGAGCGATGCCAAAACACAGCCCCGAGAGCGTGCCCAGGCGGGGGACCCGAACGGACATTTCGAGCCCTCGGCCCCGAGAGGCTCTCAGGAAAGCCGAGGAGTTTCGCAAAAGGTCTCAAGAGGCCCAAAATAGATCCCCAGGAAGCCCGAAGAACCCCTCAAGAGGCTCCCAAGAGACGCCCTTCTAAGAGGCCCCCAAATCCCACCAGCCCTCTGGGCGTCAGTGGTTTAGGGAGTTTCCTCTTCCACCCCTCCTTCTTCTCCTTCGGGGAGGGGTTTACCCCTCCCCCGACCCCCTCCACATGGACCTGGACAGGGGATTTCGCGAGGTGCCGGAGCGTCCAACATGGCCTCGGCGAGGAAGCCAAAAGCATTGGTTTTACTATGGTTTTGGCCTCATGTTGGCCTCCTGCAGGGGGGGACCCCAATTAGTGCCCCCCCCTCCTGTGATCGATCTTACCCAAGATGGCCCAAAGATGGCCCCCAAGGCTCCCAAGGGTGCCCCAAGAGGGCCCCAAGAGGTGGCCAGGAAGCTCCAAGAGGCCCCCAGGATGCCCCCAAGAGGCTCCTAAGAGACCCCCAAGAGGCCCCAAGAGACCCCCCAGAGACACCCAAGATGCTCCAAGAGGCCTCGGCGAGGATGCCAAATCATTGATTTTTGCTAGAAGGTTTTATCCACATGTTGGCCTCTTGGGGGGGGCAGTGATTAAGATGACTCCCAGAGCGCCTGGGAGAGCTAAAGATGACCTCCAAGATGGCTCAAGATATCTCAAGATATCTCAGCATGGCTCCCACGATGCTCAAAGATGCTCCACGACCGCTCCAAGACTGCTCCCAGTGGCCAAAGAGCTCCCCCAGGAGGCCCCGAAGAGGCCAAAACCTGAGGAAATTCTGTGCTTGGCTTTCTCGCCTTTTCGCTTCCGATGGCCATCCGAGGCCTCAGGATGGCTCCAAGATGGCCCAAGAGGGCTCCAAGAAAGGCTCCAGAGAGCCCCAAGGCGGCCCCAAGACCGCCTAAGAGCGCTCCAAGAGCGCCCCAAGAGCGCCCCCAGAGGCGATTGTTTGGGTTCCCGAGGGGCAACGCTAACTAATGCTCGCTTCTTGTTTGATCGATGTCCCCCAAGATGGCCCCAAGAGCGCTCCCAAGGCTCTCAAGAGCGCTTCAAGGGGGCCCCAAGAGGCGCCCAGGAGGCCCCAACAGGCGCCCAAGATGCCTCCAAGATACTCCCAAGAGACCCCAAGACGCTCCGAGGCACCTAAGACGCTCCAAGAGGCCTCCACTGGGGGACCTTTCCTCTGTGTACTGCCCACTTCCCTGATCGAGGCAATTCCTCTGGGCATCGTTTCAGGATGGGCTGGTGGGGTTACGAGAAGCGTCTAGAATTCCTCCTTAAAGGCACCTGACAGCCCTGCGAAGAGACCCCAAGGAGCATCTGTCTGGCCCACGTCACCATCGTCGTCGTCGTCGCCGCCGCCGCCGTTGTCGTTGTCCCCCTTCAGGGTTGGCAGCACCGACCGTAAGGCATTCGCAATCATGGATGTGCCTCAGGGCTCCAATGTATTGGGGATTCTCGTCTGTTAGATCTTTCGACGCGCCAGGGCGTCCCAAGAGGCCCCCAAAACCGCCCCAAGACGGCCCCGAAGGCCCCCAAGAGGGCCCCAAGAACCAAGAAGACCCAAAGAGGGCTCCAAGACCGCCCCAGAAGCGCCCAAGACGGCCCAAAACATGCCACAGGCAACCCCACGAAGAGCCCAACCGGGGGAACATGAACCGAAAATCCGAGCCTTCTTTCCGCCCGAAGAGAAGAGCGTCCAGGAGGCCACAAGAGTCGCTCGGGAGGCCCCAAGAGCCCCCACGAGGCCCTAAGAGGCCCCCAAGAGGCCAAGATAAACCCCAAAGATGTTCCCAAACAGCCCCCAAAAGGCTTCAAAAGTGCCTCCAAGAGGCCCACGAGAGGCCTCCACGAGATCCCAACGAACCTCCAAGAAGCCTCAGACCCACAACCCAGGCACGGAAGTTGGATGGGACGAAGGCAATTCGACAGACAGGCAGACGGACAGACAGACAGACCGACAGACAGACAGACAGACAGACCGACAGACAGACACACGTAGACGGACACTTGTGCCTATATGCGGAAGTCTATACCCACATACTTATACGCGTATGTATACACAGCAATAGGATACAGTGAATCGTCACAGGTCGCGCGCACCACGAGCAACCTTTTCGTCGCACGAACACACACGCACCCACGCACAACTCCACCAATCTGTCAAACGAAGCCCATATCGCAACAAACCAAGATGGGGATAAATCAGGGATCTCTGAGAGCCAGGGAGTCTGGAGGATGTCTCAAGGGCAGCGGTCATGTCAGAGCGCCCCGGGACGCTCTGGGATCGTCGCAGGGCGCTCTGTAGAGATCTATTCCGATCATGGGTTGCCTGAGCCCTCCCCACCCTCGCAAGGCGAGGAAGGAAGGATTAGCGGGACGGCGGCAAACTCTACGGTTGGCTCTCATGCGCCCCCCGGTCTCCTCCAGCCGCGAGTGCCATCTTGGCCAACTCCGGCGTCCCCATCACGACGAAGCCCAAGTTACCGGGGCGTTTCTGGCGGCGGTTCTGCACGACCGTCACCTTTCGTGGGCAAGACACATATCCAAATCCACGGCTTCGCGGGCCAGGCCCCTGGACCGCGACCCCATGGGCATGGGGCGTTGTTTCGCGCATGCCCCGAGCGGAACGCCTCCATGCGACCCCGTATCCACAGAATCGCGCCCAAAATCCAGATCGTGAGTGCGCGTCTATCTGAATATGTTCGCTGCTCGTGAACCTCTTGTCCTCCCTGTACTGGTCTTCCTGCTGATCCTCCTCCTCATCCCCTCCTCCTGGTCTTGCGGCTGCTGCTGTTTGCTGCCTTCCTGAATGCCCACATCCTGACGCAGCTCCTTGCCCTGGACAGTGGAACCCCCTAGAAACACCGTCAATCGTAGAATGGAAACTCATGCCCGCTGCGTCGGTGGGTCGGAGTCGCAGGTGCGCGCGGGCATGCAGATCGGCGCGACTGCCCGCCCGTTGGAAAAATAACCTCGGGAACCGTTTTTGGACCCCCCACGAAGCTGGCCAATTTCCGACTGCAAGCGCAGCTGAAACAGGGCCGCAAGGACGTGGGTCAAGACCATGTGCCTTTCCGCCGAAGGCCCAAGGCCCAATGGAATTCCCCCAAACGAGGGCCATTCCAAGAAGGAGAGCCAAACACAAAGAGCGTAAAAGGTACCTCGGCATTATAACGGCTGCTCTTAAACCTCTACCAGATCTGCCACGTGCTGCTTATCGTGGTATGAACGGCCATCGCGAAGTTCGGTGGCTGGGCGAAAGGAAGTGACGGGGGAGGGCTGGACTGGACACTTTGTGCGGGCTAGAAAGCACGGACCAGCATGGGCGCGCCGCGGGGTGCAATCCAACCCCCGAACACGCGACTGGACCCATAGGTCGAGAAGGGGACCAGAAAAGGGGATAGGTAAGACCCGCTGGCATGCTCATGCCAACCCGTGCCACCCACCAAGCTGCCGCCCCCGCAGTGGCCCCAGGCGCCGCGCTGCCCTTATTCGAGGAGCCACGCGCGGCGCGGCCCTCAAGGAGGAAGACGGCGAGGGCGTCGCATCAGGCCTCGCGCGCAGCGCGGCCCTCGAAGAAGCGAGCTCGCGGGCCAGGCGAGCCAAATGGTCGGACGAAACCTGATCATTCTGATCGTGGGCCAGGACGCTGTCACGACGCACGCGTGCGCGCACGCACGCGCGCCGTTCGGCTCCAGTTTCGTTTCGCCCAGGTTCGCCTTCTCCCCTTCCCAAGTAGTCGCGCACAACTCATGCAGGCTGTGCAAATCCTCCGTCAAGCCCAGACCCGGCCTGGCCGAGATTAAGCACTCCAGGTTCCTACCATCAAGGCGCCCCTTGCCCCTCTGCCAAAGGGTCACGCACGCGTCGCGCAAGCTTGTCCAATTCAATATTTTTACCGCGGTCTGCTGCTTCAAGTCAGCCGCGTGAACTCAAGCGCGCCCTTGGCCTTCTCGTGCAGGCGCGCGAAATCGACGGTCAAGGCCCCCGGGCGTTTCGACGCGGTCTTCCGCTCCTCACCTTTCTGGCCCCGTTGGCTGGGCGCGGTCTGGAACTGCACCTTGAGGTTCGAGCTTTCTACGTTCAGGTGTGCGCCCTCCGCCTTCGCCGCGGCAGCGTTGCGGCACTCGGCCGCCAGCGCCCAATGAACGCTGCTCGCGCCCCCCTTCGTGTTCGCCTCTCGCGCTGCAGCGACGCCATGGTGGACTTCGTATCCTGGCACTCCAAATCAATTGGGTGGCTCGTGTCCTACAAGTCGTCTTCAACGGCGTGCGTTTTCACTATCAAATCGTGCTGATTGTCACGCTCATTTATCGCATCGGCGAGCTTCGGCCGCTCTGCAAAGATCAGCCAGCGCACGCGAACAAATTGGCGCTGACCACTGAAACCCTCGCTCCGCGGAGCAAGCTCCTGCAAGAACGCGCGGCGCGGGGTAAACTCTGCCCTGCACACGCGCACTCCGCCATGAGGGCAGCGGGCTGGTTCGACTCGGTTTAGGCGGGGCGAACAGGGCCATCCAGAAGGTGGGCCGTCGAAAGGGTGCATGGAACGGCTTTCGGGGAGGCGTTCCAAGATTTCTGGAACGCCTTTCCGCCCAGCGTTCGGAGCAGTTCGGTCGCCTCGGCCCACGGCCCGCTACCGCGTCGACATGGAGACACCTCGAAGCGGGATCAGGCCGCACGAGTGAAGCCAAATTGTCTGCGAGGGGCAGCCTTGGAATTGCTGTTCTGCCACCCTCTCTCCTTCTCGTCCTAGGTGTGCCCGTCGACCGCCGCGCCCTTTCTGTGGCGCCGAAGTGGCCACTTCGCCTGGTCTGCCCCGTGCACGCTCCCGTGCTGGCCCTCCCCCTGCCTCCGCCCACCGCGCAGCCCCTTGCCCCCTCCGCCGCCACCTCCCCTTTTCTCCCTTCACTCCCCTTTTCGCCCCGCGTCGTCGTCGTCGTCGTCGTCGTCGTCGTCGTCGCCCCGCGTCCCACACCAGTGTCGTTCAGCGCCTCACTGATGCTAGCCCGCTACTTACATCTGCCAACCGCGCCCATTTTCTCTCGCACTCTGCCTCCCTCATCCCTCCCCCCCCCCTCCCCCTCCCTTCCCCCAGCTCCCCTGTCCTATTTCGCCTTCCCCCGTCCCCTTCCCCTTCCCTCCCTCCATTTGCCCCTTTCTTCCAACCTCGTGCTCTCCCGCTCCCACCCCTCCCCATTCCCTCCGCCGCCAGCCCTTCCCGAACGCTGTTCCGGGAAGGCGCGCAGCCCTTCCCGAACGCTGTTCCGCGGAGGCCGAATGCAGGCCCCAAGTGGGCCATCCGTCCGGCTGATGCTCCGAGGCCCCAAGTGGGCCATCCACCCGGCTCCTGGAGGCCGCCCCCCCCGAGGCCCCAAGTGGGCCATCCATCCGGCTCATGCACGCCCCCGACCCTCGCACGCCCTGCGCGCAACCCCCTCGCCGCCCCCAGGCCCCAAGTGGGCCATCCACCCGGCTCATGGAACATCACACCGGGGCACCCAGTACCCCTGCACTGGTCCAGGGCCCCAAGTGGGCCATCCGTCCGGCTGATGCTCCGAGGCCCCAAGTGGGCCATCCACCCGGCTCATGGAACCCCTTCCCAGAGCTCCCTCGGAAAGGCGTTCCGCGCCTCGGGGGAAGGGTACTCGCGCGCCTGGCCGCCTTGGCTCCCGCGACCCAGGGCGCCCTTGCACCGATCCCAAACCACCCCGCCTCTCCCTCCCCTTCTCCTGCTCCCATGCCTCCCTCCATCCCTCCCTCCCGCCAGCATTCCTGCCCTCTCGCCCCGCACCTCGTCGTCCCTTTTCTCCCTTTTCGCCCCGCGTCGTCGTCGTCCTCCTCCTCCTCCTCCTCCTCCTCCTCACATGTCCTCATCCTTCCGCCCCCCCTCCTTCCTCCTCCATCATCCTCCGCAATCCTGCTCCCGCCCTCCTCCCTCATCGTCCTCCATGCTCATCCTTATGAACCTCCTTTTCCTCCTCCTCCCTCATTCATCCCATTATCACCTCTCCCTCCTCCTCCTTCTCCTCCTTCTCCTCCTCCTCCCCTCCTCCTCCCCCTTTTTTTGACAACCCAACGTCGAGGCGAGTGCACCGCGTCTAGAAGGGCAGCAGTACAGGTGTGGAGGACACTGAGAAAACATGAAGGGAGAAGAGATCGAAAGCCAGTGGGACCATTAAATACGCAAGAGAAGTGGAGACAGTCGAGAGGGCCCAGGGCTGTCTAGCTGGCAGGAGCTGATTCCAGCAAAGATGGTTGAGGGACGAGGTGAAAGTGGACGGCCGAGCCATCCGCAATCCCAGCTGTGATTTCTCGCACCACCGCGCTTCCATCCACCCGATGAACGGCCCACTTGTTCATCCACCCCCTGGATGGCCCAGTTCGCCCCCTCCAATCGGTGGTGGCTTTCGTTTCCAATTTGGGCGCATCCAATGTTCTGGGATCGTCGCCGCGGGGCCCTTGCGGAACAGACGCGCAAGAATTCCCTCCACTACCTGAAAGGGTGATTTCCTGCAGCGTGAGACCCACGCGAATGATGCGCACCCTACGGCTCCTGACGTGCAGGTGGAACTTCGCATTGCCAATTTTTCACGCGGATCCTCTTCGGAACGGGACATGGGAACTGAACTCAGAGAGATGGGAATTAGGGTCGGAGAGTTGGGTGTCAGAGTCGAAAATTTGAGACTGCGTCGGAGAATTCGGAACCGGAGTCGGAGAGATGGGAGCTGGAATCGGTTGGGAAGCGGAGTCGGGGAGACGGGCGTCGGAGTCGGAAAGTTGGGAGCTGAACTCAGAGAGATGGGAATTGGGGTCGGAGAGTTGGGTGACGGAGTCGAAAAATGAAGAGACTGAGTCGGAGAGTTGGGAACCAGAGTCGGAGAGATGGGAACTGGAATCGGTTGGGAGCCGGAATCGAAGAGACGAGCGCCGGAGTCGGAAAGTTCGGGGCTGGAGTCAGAAAATTGTGAGCGAAGGATAGCAAAATGGGAATTGGAAATGATAAGCGGGACCATAGTAAGCGCCATTTTGAACGACGGGAGCACACCGCCGATCGGAGAAGGAGGTCCACGCTGTAACGGCCGCACCATTTTGAAACGCCGGAAACAAACGGACTGCACAACAAAACGTAAAACAACATCAATTGTTGACACCTTCCGTGTAAAACACACTTGGCGGGGTGGGAGATCTTCCGCAAAACTTCGGTGGAGGAAGGAGAATAGCACCCTTATTGTTTGCCTGTGGAGGGAGGAAAGGGAGGAGGAACAACCAGAAGAGGAAGAGAAGGAGGATGAGGGGGAACAGAGCGAGCACAAAGGCCAAAAGCCTCTTGGCTGCCTTTCGGCGTCTCTTCTGATTTGTTTTTCCGGTTTCGATTCGTCCGGTGTTCACTCGCCCGGGTTAAGTTCATCTTGTTGTATTTCGCGCGTGCATCTCCTATGCGTCGCGCGTGCGTCGGCGATGCGTCGGCGATTCGTTGCGATCTCCCGACCCCATCAGCTAGAACCCCATGTGGGATGAC